CTTAGTTTTAAAATATTTTCCTCATATGCTTAAAAGAAAAGGATTTCAGCTCTTTTCAACTCCGAGGCAAAGTTTTTCTAGCCAAAAAAAGTGCAAGATTTCATGATACAGCTTTAATTTAGTATGGAAACAAATTTACTCTTATCATATTATTTGTTTTAAAGGAAGCATAGCAGGAAGGAAGTGCTTCATTGCAAAAAGGAAACACGAGACAGCGTCTCAGTAAAGTTGCACAAGACATAGTAAATTCTTTGTGTTTCCATTATTATTATTATTTATATAAAAATGTGAAGAGGAGCACTTTAGAATTTGAAATTGAATTTTGTCTTCAATTGAAAGGACCACAGAATTGGAAGAAGAGAACCTTCTAACAACTGAAAATTGGAAAGGAATGACAGCAGACTTTTTTGCCAGGGCTAAATGATCTTTTTATAGGCTGTCTTGATGGCTGATCTTTTAGTACCCTCACAGTTGCTGTTCCTCTGTGTATAGGTTTTTATTTGGCTGAATTTTTCTTAAAATGTAAGATGTTTAAGAAGTTTTTCTTAAAATGGATATGATAATTAAGGATCTGACTAGTGTTAAGCACAATAAAGTGAAATTGTCATTTACACTTATCCAGAAAAGGTACTTTGGTTGAAATAACCTAAATTTTGTCAACTTGTAGTTATGTTCAGTATTGACTATTGGTTTTGACAGAAGTACTGATGACAAACCATGCAACTTTGCATTTGTTTCTGTTAAATTTTGTTCTGCTATTTCTGTCTTCCAAAGTATTAGTTTAGTACTAGTTTTGTGTTATCTACAAATTAGCTAAGCATTCCATCTTCCCATTCATGTCATTAAAATATTTAAAAATTGGATAGTTGCCCAGAATTGCCTGACAGTGTGGAATCAAATGCAAGGCCCAAAATCAATAATCTGCAGTAAATTATTCAGTACACATTGGAGGAATTCCCTCCAGAAAATAACAAGAGGGACTCCTACAGACAAAAGGATGCACTCATATTTATACTTTTCGGATAAGGAGGATAAATAATAATTGTACATATGCATGGATAACAGATGATGTAAGCACAAATATTCATAATTAGTAAACCTCAAGTTTGCTTTCCCACATATCTACTATCCTCAAGGAAGTTATTGTCTTAGTAAAGAGAGAATGTATCATGTCCGTTGCCATAGCAATTTTGATAAAGGTACAATTTTGATAAAAGGTACTAAGAACTGAAGATTTCCCATTAGCACACATTTATGTTTCCATCTTGCTAACCACTTCCCCAAGAATTTGGATATAAATTTAATAAATAAATAAAAATTGCACAAGAGTAGTGGTCCCTGGGGGCACTCCATTTGGCAACTTTCTTCAATGTGAGCACTCTATTATTTTTCTGCATTATAATCTACTTACCTCTCCTGCCATCCAATCCATACTCAATGAGTTTGCTAATGAAACTTTTGTGGCAATATCTAAAAAATTCATCATATTGGATTTTTGGAATCAGCAATTTCCCCAATAAATGCTTTGAGTCTCAAAAAGCTTCTGTGATAAAGAAGTCATTAGTTTAAGGTGCTATAAAGCTAATGTTTTAATTTATTGTATTTGTTTCCTGCATACTTCCAGAAAGATCAACACTCAGTGCAAATACTAGCCTGGACTGCCTTTTGGAATAACTTGTTTCTAATTTCTTTTAATTGGAAACAGCAGCTCTGTTTATAAAATTCATTTGACTAAATCAGCCATGTTTATGACTCATTTAGTAAAATCAACACAAACATGAAAAACTAGTTCTGAATTTTGGTTTACTTCGATAAAACTTTTTAAAGTGGATTGCTGTTTCATCTATTACGATGTAACAAAAAGAGAGACAATCTTTTAGAAATACCTTGAAAATAAAATAACTACGCCACATGTTATGTGGTATGGCATGCCAATACTTTTGAGGTCAGCATTTAAGGCAGAGGTCTTCAAACTTGGCAGCTTTAAGACTTGTGGACTTCAACTCCCAGAATTCTCCAGCCAGCTATGTTATGCTGGCTGGAGAATTCTGGGAGTTGAAGTCCACAAGTCTTAAAGCTGCCAAGTTTGAAGACCTTTGATTTAAGGCTTTTGGTGGAGCTTTTAAGACTTGAGGTCAACCCAGGAGAGAAGGGCCCAAAAATTTCGAGTGGCTGCTGTTAAAAGCAGAGTCCTAATTTTAATGCGAAAGGACCAAAAGCAGCTGTTTAAAATGGACATATGTTGCCGCTGTGCAAAAATCTTACTTTAAGTTAAAAAGGGCAGATAAGAAATAAAAGCAACCAAGGTGGAAAAAAGTGTTGTGAACCAAGTGTGGGCTGCAAGCGATGATACTTCCTTAAAGTGGCACCTTAGGCTTCTGTAGTGATTGTGTGATCCCAGGAATCTTCACATTGGCATTAAGGAGGGCTCTGGGGCAAGATAATTTAATCCAAACAGTAGCCTCCCTCTTGTTTTCCTGCAAATGTTTGGCACCCATGTGCAATCTGTCTCTTCCCCCTGCCCCCTGCCCCCAAAAAAGACAGGGCTTCTTTGAAGAGCCACTGAGAGATCCTGCCAACTATGCATACATATACTTGGAGGCACCTTTTCCCAGGGGTGAAATCCAGCAGGTTCCGACAGGTTCTGGAGAACCAGTAGCGGAAATTTTGAGCAGTTCAGAGAAACAGTAGTAGAAATTTCAAGTAGTTCAGAGAACCGACAAATATCACCTCTGGCTGGCCCCCGAGTGGGGTGGGAATGGAGATTTTGCAGTATCCTTCCTCTGCCACGCACCAAGCTACACCATGCCTACCAAGCCATGCCCACAGAACTGGTAGTAAAAAAAATTGGATTTAACCACTGTCTTTTCCACTTCAGATCCCAGATGCACATCCTGAGGAGTTAGGGTTACAGCTCTCTTGATGAAGATCTAATCAGAAAGTACTTCTGGTAAAGTCACTAAAAGATTTCAGAGCCAGATGAACTGCAGTCTAGTGTGACAGCACGTAGCTGATCATGACTGATCTCACTAAGCTAAGCATAATTAGTTTCGATTATTTCATAGATGAGAGGACACTGAGTAATCCCAGGGCTGTAATAAAGGCTGAGAAATTTTAAAAAAAATATAGAAAACAAAAAACCGCTTCTGTAATCTTTCTAAAAAGCCACTAAGCCATCATTGGTTGAGGTGAACTCCAAAGGAGATATTAGCTTATAGAAAAAACAAGAGACAACACATGCATACACACACATCCCTATAGCAAAGATTTGAACATGATGTTAGGCAAATGTTTCTCTAGTCTTTTCCAAAATCAAAGACCTTGGAAAACTCAAGTAGTTCAATCCATTTGATCTGGATGTAGAACATTATACAATTTATAAAGTAAACATCTTAGCAGGAAAACAAGAGTAAATGTTCTAAAATGTGTCTTCTTTCAATTGGAATACTATCTTAGTGGTTTATAGCAATGCTGTCTGCATGGATTGTATTTAGTTTCATCAAAGCAACTGACCAGATTTCCTATCTTATTTAAGTTAATAGACTAATTATATATAGAATGAACAACACAATACATTCAGGCAGATAGAAAATTAATTGAAACAGTGCTCCTTCTGAAATTGTTGGTGGTAGTGGTAGGGGGTTAGAGTAGAGTGTTTTGGCCACAGAGCACAAGCATCCTCAAGGTCAGGTAGTAATCCTGTTTTCATTTTTTTCTGCTTCATCCCAGTTTCTGCCTGGAATTCTTGTACCCTGTAATGCACCTGTAGTTTTCACCAAATATCTTGCCGTATTTTTTAAAGCTGAATTTCAATAATGCCTCTTAAGGTCCACAAAACATTTTTCCTATGTTTATGCCCCTTTATAAAATAATAATTAAACAGAAATGTTATATCTGTTTTGAGTTTTTATTTGTGCCTGGAATGAGCTGGTGGCCTCTCTGGAGCTGTTAAACATTCTTCAGATTCTTCCCAGGAAAATGTAAATTTGTGGAAACACAAATGCTCTGACCCCCTCTTGTGGTCAGTTTTGAACATTGCATGTTTGGATGGCAAAAAAAACCTTTTGGACTTTTTTCAACATGACTTATTTGAGAAAGTTCATATATATGTACCTGATAAGTTTTAGACTCCCCCCCCAATCCTAAACAGGGAATCTGGTCAAAAAGTACCTTGTCTTTTCATGTTTCTTCTGAAATAGAGAGCTTAGCAGGATGGATAAACACATACTGGATTTTTCTTTTGGGTCATTCTCTCTAGATTTACAAGTCTTAACTGTGGTTAAGATAAACCAATTTATGCTTAATTTAGGACATGGGGCTAGTTATTAATTCAGAAATTTTTTTACTACTGGTTCTGTGGGCGTGGCTTGGTGGGCATGGCAGGGGAAGGATACTGCAAAATCCCCATTCCCACCCCACTCTGGGACCAGCCAGAGGTGGTATTTGTCAGTTCTCTGAACTACTCAAAATTTCCGCTACCGGTTCTCCAGAACCTGCTGGATTTCACTCCTGCTATAACCCATCCATAATGGGACACTCACGATTAAATTTGTACCAAACCTAGGAAATATCTGCAGAAAGCATGCTGCTTTGGTTCATTTTGTAACTGTTTTTGAAAAAGATGCACCTATGTTAAATATTTTACATTTAAAATATGTAAGAGAAAAGCAGGTTAGAATGAGGATCTAAAAGGCAATCTGTCCAATCCCAAACCAAGTTTTTAAAAAAGTACTGAACATTTCAGCCTTAATTTTGCAATGCTCAAGCAGCTAAAAATGGGATGCTTCAGAACTGTTAAGGAATCCTTTTAGAGTTTATTTAGTCTACAGCAAAGAGAGACACTAATTCTTTGGAATGACTGATTCAGTACCTTATAACTTTTGGTGGAGTCCTCCAAATATGATAATAAAGCAAAGTGCACCTTAAACCTTCCCTTTTTGATTATTGACGTACATCTAAGCATGTATCATCCCTTTAAGAAATGAAATAGAAACTGTAAATATGTTTTTCCAGCATCCAGATGTGCTCTCTTTAATTATAAAGCATCATAAGTGTTACAGAATCAAATAATGCCTTTGATCTCCACATGTTGAATTCCTCTGAAGCTAAGATGGCTACCATCCTTCAGTTATCACAGTACTGTACCTTTAGTATAGACAGCATCAGCACAGTGATAACTGAGCCAGGGCAGCCTGTCAATCATTGCCTGACTTCATGTAGAACTATCAGATAACCCCAAGGTGCAGGTTCCATCAGTTGATCCACAGCTGAGGGTTCAAAAAAAGAAGACCACGATGAACACCAAACTTCCTGAAAACTTTATGTTGTTTGTTTCAGACATACCTGACAATTAAGTACATGTAAGCAGAAGCCTTGCCTGAATAGTATATCCATTTGTTCACTGTGCTGAAGGTTCTCTAGTTAATTATGCATAACTAAATAGAAAATTATTAAACAAAATGCTATTTATATATTTATTGATAAAATGGTAACTGAACCATCCAGATTAGTGCTAGCAACGTAGATTTCTGATGAGAGAAAAGGAAAATATCTCTGGAACTTATGTTTTTCTGCCACACATATCAATAACATAGGCCATAGATATTTTTTCCACAACTTTGCTGAAATTAATGTCACTTAAGGATGCGCTAACTATTCTGCCAGACCTGTGTTTTACAAAACAGATGTATAGGGTTTCCCATAAAAGAAATCCCCAGGGCACATTACAAATAAAAATAGTTTAGTGCTAAACTTGGGGCTCCTATAATTTTTAGCTCAGAAGCCTGCCAAAAGCTAAAACAGGTTCACCAAATTGAAAAAAAAAGACACTTTGTCAAACGGTTCCCCTAAACCTGACACAGCCCACTTACTTACATCGGTATGTACGCTACTGTGGTATCTTGATGGTTTTAAGTGCAGTTTCACACAACAAAAGACTGCATCCACCTGCTCTTATTATCCATAAGGTATTCCTAATTATCTGCTATAAAGGTAATAACTTCTGTGGCCAGTTTTGCCGTCAGGACTGGACTTTTGGACAGAGTCCAGGGAACAGAAGTGGAGGAAACTCATCTCTCCTTTCCAGTTCTGACTGAAAGCTGCCATGTGATGCACATCTGAAAAGAAACAATTTTTTAAAGAAAATCACAAGAGGGCACTAATGAGATGGAAATGTATCTGACAAATGCTCAACCCTTTTAAAAAAACAGTTAGGACAAAAACAGAGACAACCCACTGAACTGATTAATTAGCACCTTGTAGGATTAACTACAAGTAGTCCTCCCTTTACAACCATTCATTCAGCGACCATTCAAAAGTATGTTTTTACAGCATGCCCCCAGAAATGAGAGAGTATTCTTTGTTTTGGGGGGGGGGCTGGCTGCCAACACTCCATGTTGCAAATACTCCATGCCAAAATCCTGCTTGGATTTCAGGATGGATGTTCCATGACCACTTTGCTCAACAACCAAAGATTCTGGTTTCAGTTGTGTTTGTAAGTTGAGGACTACCTGTATTTTATTTGTGTAAACTCATGTACATCTTCCCCAAAAACCCATATTAGTGCAAACAGAGACAGACATGTAAAGGCTCCAAACAAAATCAATATGTGTAAATAAACTAGAGGCAGGGATTTCCCTTATTTATCTTCCCATATCATCTGTGGGCAAAACCCCCACGTGAAGGTCAATACGGATAGCCAAGAAAACAAACAAATGGATTATTAACAAATCATTAGGAGTTGTATTTGCACTGTGCATCACAAAGACTGATTCCACTACTCTGATTCCCTCACTAAAGCATATGTAAAACATACCTAGAACTTAGATTTCTCTGACATTTGACAACCAGTAGCTATAGAGAGACAGATGGAATCAACTGTATAATCATGTTTACTTGAATGAATATAGTATCTTTGTAAGATCTTTGATATGTCTTCTATACAGGAATGGAATTATTATTGTGCCAATCTGTGCCTAACCCTAAACCTTTTTTAGAACTTTTGTTGATTTTAAGTCAGCTTTTCACCTAATACCAAGGGACCATATCTATGGGGATTATCAATCATCCAGGTCACTGTTGTCCCAAATATATATATTTTTTCAAAAAGGCAATTGGATTTCCTTGTTTTTTTCCTTAAAAACATTTTACTTCTCATCCAAGAACGTCTTCAGTTCGCTGAAGAAGCTTCTTGGATGAGAAGAGAAACATTTTCAAAGAAAAAAACCAAGAAGTCCAGTTGCCTTTTGGAAAAAGCACTTTTAAAAGACTATGGGATAGTCTGAAGCAACAGTCTGTTTACTATTGATAAAAGACTGCTTCTACTTATTCAGTCATCCCAAAAATGCTTTTGCAGGAGGCAACTGGACTTTGTTTTTTCTTTTGAAGACATTTTTTTCTCATTCAAGAAACTTCTTTAGCTCTGACAGGATGGTAGCATTCCAAAGTTTAAAATAGAGTGTAGCATTTAGGCTGGATGCAGATTTTTGCTCTAAAATGAAACACATCATTGTAACCTACTTTTTTAGATGCATTAATTCCATATCCAGTTGGTTGTGGATTTTCAGATAGAACTGAGGGAAGTTCCTGGAAAATTCTATCCAAAACAAACAATGCTAGAATAAATAGACTAGTAATCTATTTGGTGTAAAGAAACTTGCTACAATTCTTTATATACCTTAGCCTTAATAATATTCTAATATTCTAATAATATGTTCATACATTATGGATCAACATCATGTAAAGCACACTCAGATTTGAATGTGTTTACTTCATCCTCCTTAGCATAACTGCATAGAAAACTAAAGTGTTATTTTGCATTTTAAATTCAAACATTAATATTCGGTCCATAATTTATTTAAGGTGTGGATGTATCATTAAATAGTTTCTGATTTAAAAAATGCAATTGAAAACTGGTGATGTCTTCAATTTAGTCATGGTGAGAGACTGGGGAACTCATTCATATAACATTAAATCATGATTCAGTGCAGGCTTTCTGAACATAGTAACCTCTTGTTTTAGGAGAGCAACTGCCAGAATTCCCAGACACAACAGCATGGGGTGGGCCTTAGATCTATTTTTATTTGTGAGTTTATACCCAGCTTTCTATTCAGAAACTCATGGGTACATACACTGTTCTCCTTTTCCCCATTTTACCACCATAACAATCCTGTGAGGTAGATTTAAATTGAGCTAGTCCAAAGACACCCAGGGACTTAGAAGTCAAGACTGACTCAATGGTGTATGTGGTAGTTGTGTCTGGTATTTACCTCAGGAAAACAGTTTAAGGGCGCTAAACTTCCTCTTCCTTCTTACTACACATTCCTCTATAGAACAAAGTTTCTCAATCCTGGCAACTTTAAGACTTCAGTTCCCAGAATTTCCTCCTACCTTTGCTAGATAGTTACCCAATGTGTTATTATGATAAGACAGTTAAATATGCAAATGCGGAGGCATGTGCCAAAGACAAATCTAAGTACTTCAGTTATTTGATTAGCATTCATTGATATGGTTGCTACAGTGATTCTAAGAGATTAAAAAGTAACCACAATAACTGTTGTTAAAATGTGCTGAAGGTTGCCTTTTCCCCTCAAACAATTTAATTTGGTATATTTGGGAATCATTTTTTTAAAGTTTGGTGAAAACCTTACTATGTCTTTTGCCTAAACTTTGTCCTGCCTCACTGAAATGTAAAATGGTTACTCTTACTAAATTTATATGCAAAAAAGCTATGGTAGGCAATCTTTATACTATTAAAATTCTAGTCTCTTCCTCAACTGCTGCAAAAGGTGTCAATAGTATGACTGAATAAATATTCCATCTCTGCCTTTAAATGCATAGTTCATCTTTCTTTTAAATTGCCACAGAAGTACAGGTCCTTCCTTCTGCATAGCAGCATGAAGTTTTTCAATCTTTATGCTTAACCACTTTTAAATGGACAGAAATGCATTAGTGTGTGATTAGCAAGAATTCCCTGTAACCTTGACCAAAATATGAAACATTATCCACTGGGAACTTGAGTACAAGCTCTACTAAAATAATTGACTCATTTCAGGGAAGTTTGAGCAGAAGGTGTTCTCAATTTAACCATCTATGCCTGTGCTATGTAGTACTATTAAGGCCTGAAAGCACTGTAAATGCTATGAAAAAAAGAAAAAGAAAATCTATAGATCTGTAGCTGATAAATTAATTAGGGGTGAAAAATGCAGATGTACTCATAGCAACATTATTGTTTTAAGAACAGGCATTAAGGAAGCATAACCAAAGCCAATGCATTTTTCTATAAATTTACATTACCTAGATCTCTCCCATATATTTTCTTTCTTTTTTTCTTTAATTAAACCCTTCTGGGCAATTTAATTTCTGAAAAATTTCCATCTTAAAATAAGTCAGTAATTAAGATTTCTTTATTTTACATTTTTTATTTTCATTATATATATTCTACCTTTATTATTTTTACAAATAACTCAAGCTGGTGAACAACCACCCTACACAGTGGAAGCAGGACTTGAACTCACCACCATCTCTCACTTTCTAGCCTTGTGCCTTAACCACTGGACCAAACTGGCTCTCATATTTACACGTTGCTATATTTTTACTTAGTTGTCTTTTGTTTGCTCTGCTTTCCCATACCTGCTTTCCCCCCTTCTCTTTCTAGGCAATAGTTGCTGGAGATAAAAAGTGTTTTTTGAAAGACTGTAACAAAGCTGGGGGTTACATGTTACCCACTCAAGATCCACAACGTATGAGCCAACTCTAGCATGTTTACTTAGAAGTTAAGTACACATTAGACTGCAAAATTAAAAAGACCACTGTTTGCAGATAAAGAGCAAAACATACAAAAATTGATAAATCACAAAATCATACAGACATCACATCCTAAATCTCAGCTGCACCATCTATCTGCAAAATGTCGTTATACATACTTCTTGCTAGCCTTGTTTTTAAAAATACCACTCTCTTCAACTATATTATTTTTAATAGTTGCTTAAGAATTCTGTGAGAGACAGGAGAAGTCTCATCCACCCCAAATGATACTTGTCTTGTCAAGACCACTAAACAAATATATAATTCAACACATTCATCTCACAAGCACCTTATTACTGTCAGTCATAGTTGACATTCAATCCTAGTATTTTCTTTTCCATCAAAGCCTCATAGCTGAAACAAACAAGCCCACAGAGAAATACTTACAGATTTGAGGCTGGCAACATTAGGAGCTGCATTCTTCAGAAAAAGGCATTAGGCATCTTCGCTTTTTCACTGCCTATAGGGGGTAACAGAGAGAGAGGGAAAATAAGACTAATAAATATAGAGAATTCAAATTCTATTCGCAAATAAATTTAGAACTCCTCTGTATTTACCGAAAAGTTCCATCAAAACCACAGATGCTGCAATAAAAAAATCTAGGTCATAGACCTGGACTTTTGTTACTTAATGGCCAGAGAGAACAAACACTCCTATATTTTGTTAAAATATAACCCATTCCATCATTGTGGAGCAAAAAATTGGATCTAACAATCCCAGCACTGCAGCCATTCTGCTTCAAGATATGAACAAGGGGAGCCCTGGACAATCCTTCACTTTGCTAGATTTATTTTTTTTTTAAATCCCATGTTATAAAACAAAACGTAGCCAGAGGAGATAACAGAAATGATTTGCATAAGATAGTGAGATGTAAGTTGTTAGGCATAGAAGTATAAATTGCAACAGAAGAACAGTAAGAGAAAATGGAAACGTCAACTGGATTTTTGAGTTAATATTTTTGGGGACCACTTACATCCATTACTTTTTAACATCAGAACAACAAAGATTAATTAATTCAGACTTGTTTAGATATAGTAGTTAATTTCTAGAAGGTGCAGCAGCTCAGGTCTAAAAACCAAATTCCCTTGGGGGAACTTAGTGATAACAAATCAGTGGCTGATGGAAAGACTACAGGGATGCCGCAGATTAAAACAAGTTTAGGGTTAAGCCTGCAATTGTAAACACAAACCTAGGTCTCTTATTGTATTGAAATCTGAGTAAATATATCTAGGATCAGTAAGCATATCAGGTTTTTTTCTGTAACATGCCAAGACTTTGTCCTTTCTCTACTTATAGTTAACTGAACATGTAAATGACAAAAGTCACTTTGCATTGCTGCGTCTTTGTTATATTGCTTTGTTCCTGCCCGTGAGTGAGGCAAATTAACTGTACAGGTGATTAAGTAGCATATTTCCACTCATTCTAACATCAGCTAGGACTGTTTCAAGGTATATAAAACTTAAAGCATAGTTCCTCACAGGAAGATAGGTGATTGGCAGTGATTTTAATCAGAGGCAATAGAGGCTAGAGATCTGTATGGGGATAGTAGTTTTTAATGCTTATTATATACAGCCCTTTGCGGATTCCAGAATGGGTGGGTTAGCACTTCATCTCAATTGTGGGGAGAGTGTGATACAGAAAAAAAGATAGAGACATAATGATACTTATTACACCCCAATCATGCATTCACTAGGTAGTTAGGATAGGCTAATGGTAAAAATGTATTGCAAAAGCAAAATATATGGGAAACATGAAAAGCATGGCTTCTGGAATTCTTTCCAAGGCCTTAAGTTACAGCTACACTCTAGGAAAGGATGGGGTTTAGAATGAGGAGCCAACAGCATTCTGAGCCCACTGCCCAGCGACTTTTTCCTATGGGGCTACAGTGGGGATTTGCAGTTCTTGTCCAGATCCAGCCTCTATTCAAACTCACAGTTCTTCTATTGGAATTTCCTGCCAATCCAGTTTTGTTTTCCAAGAATTATCCTGTTGATAAACAAAGTCCTAAATCTCTTTATGTAATCTCTTTCCTGGATTTTGCTGGATTGGAAAGAATAACAAGTAGGGAACCCATGTAGAACACAACTTCTTGAATTCTTTCCAAGCCCTCATCATTCACTCTGGGTCATGTGATCAGGAAGGAGGTGGGAAAGGATCTTAAGATGGAACAACCAGTAACAGAGCCTGGTGGTGCAGCAGACTAAAGCAGTTATTAACATCAAGCTGTCTGCAATTACTGTAAGTTCAAATCTCACCAGGCTCAAGGTTGACTCAGCCTTCCATCCTTTCTAAGGTAGGTAAAATGAGGACCCAGATTGTGGGGGCAATAAGCTGACTTTGTATAAATATACAAAAGTATGAAGGCTATTGCTTAACGCATTGTAAGCCGCCCTGAGTCTCCGGAGAAGGGCGGCATATAAATCCATTAAAAAAAAAAAAAAAAGTCTAAATTGATGCCCTCTCCCAAAGGCATTTTTCTCTCCGCAGACTCCAAGCATATCTGGCCATTTTCAAACTCAGTCTTTTCTTTGTCAGCTTTTTTTCACCCTCACCAATTTTGCTCCCAGCTATTCTGCTTTTGGAAAGTTTCTGCTAATGGACAGACCAATGGGGTGGTCAGAGAAGTTTATTTACACACTTTCCTTCCAATACTTCATTGCACAGAATAAAAATGACAAGAATGGTGAAGTAACACATACCAGTGACATCCAGAGAGCCGTCTTATACGTTCAGGAATTGTGCAGATAAATGACTTTTGGCAGAGGCAGCATTTCAAAGTCCCATTAATCCTGGCTTAAGATCTCTTCAAGAAGCAAGGGATGCTTCAGGGCTTAGGTCCTTCCACAAGTTACTTTAAAAAGCAGGACAGAATTTTGGTCTGTATTTGGCGGATGCAAATGCCAAGCAAGGGGGTAATGTCAGAGGCAGGGAATGTTATTAAAAAGGAAAAAAAGAAAAGAAAAAAGACAAGCATGACAGCTAGGAAGGCAGGACCTTCTCTGCAATGGAGAAGAGGACCAAGCAGCATAACTTCCATCCCCACCCTATGATGGTGCCTTTTTGGCACACTAGGGAAAGCTGGCTGGGAACCCAGGAGATCCGCAGGTTCATAAATCTGGAAAACTCCAAGGGAGAAAAGGTTTTGATCACACCCAGAAACCCGCCAGGTGCAGCTACTTTATTGGTAGGATGCTAAGCCATTCCACACCTCAGCAGCTCAAAACCGCCTTAGAGAACAGAAAAAAGGCCGAGATCATTTTGGAGGACAAGCCAAGCTGGGACAGAGCAAGCCAACTCGCCCGCCAGGCAGTCCGACCATAGCAGGAGCGCGGGGGCCAGCCACAAGCAGCGAGGGAGGCGCTCGCCACCAGCGCGCATACCGACACCGCTGGTCCGAGCCTCCGGCCCTCAGTTTTAACCGGTGGCTCCTCCTTTTTTGGGATAACTCACCCCTGCCAGCCTGGGAAGCCTCCTCCGCCTTCCTCTTCCTCCTCTCTGCGCTCCTCCCCCTGGATGGTTTCATGTAAACAACACCCGGGCTATATTTACAATCACTTGACTGGAAAGGAACCGGGCCAGGAGTCTGAAGGAAAATAATAAGTGCGCCACATTTTAAGAGGCACCACGACGCCCATTGGAGCGGACGCCCTCCTTTTCCCCGCACCCCCCCCACCACCATCCCTTCCTTGCTCGCTCCAGCCCGCCGGTCAAGCGGTCGCCGAGCAAACCTCCCTCCTCAGAAGCATCCATCCGAGGAAGAGGGGTTCTATATGCCAGGGATGGGACGGGTCCCCTCCAGTCCCGGGCCCGAGCCTCTCTCCGGTCTTTTATATCCCGCCGCCCCTCCCTCCTTTCGCGAGCCCAAGAAAAGGCGAAAGGCGAACATTGGCTCCCTTTGGCCAAAGCGCGGCTGGCGGTCGCAGGGATGCCTAGTAGTTAGAGCGCAGAATCCTCCACTGGGAAGGGAAACGCTCAGCTCGCAGAAAATACCCCGCTCGCTCGCCCAGCTGCGGGTCGCGTTTATTAAAGGAGGAGGAGGAAGAGTGGGGGTGGTGGTGGAAAGGAGGGACAGGCATCGATACCTCGCCCCAGAGCTTGCCGCCGCCGCCCCTCCTCCCCGAGGCGAATAAAACCTTTGGCCCCTCGCGTCAAAATTCCACCAACCTCTCGCAGGACTTTTGTCCCCCGAGGCTCCGTAAAACCGAATTTGCAAGCGGGCGGATGAGGTGTTGGGGGGGGGGAAGAGTTGGGATGCCAACCCCGGTGCCCTGCAATAAACGCGCCCGCTCACCCCCCCCCCCCCCCCCTTAATAGCCTCCCCCCCCCCCCCCCCCACGCTCCCCTCCCCCCCACGCGCGCCCGCCCGTCGGCTCCCCGCGCGCTCTGGCAAGTCTCTGCCTCTCGCCCACCCACCTTTCCAGACGCGCTGCTTCTCCCCCCCTCGCGCTCTCTCGTCTTTGTTCTTTAGCTTTCTTTGCGCGAAGATTATCTAATGACGCAGCAGAGTCGCCCCAACGTGACTGTCGCCATTTTTCTGTTTTTATTGTATCTCTCTCGCAAGCTGCCATGTGATAGAAATTAAAAAAAGAAAAAAAGAAAAACGAAACGAAACGCCAACCACCACGCAGAAAAGAGACGCGCTCACACACAAACTTCCGGGTTCCGTGACTGTGGGAGGGGTGTGTGTGTGGAATAAAAAGAGGAAAGCCGGAGAGCCAAGTAACTTCTGGGCGAGGCAGACGGCGCGTCTTTTAAGTCTCGCTTTCCTTTTCACCGAGCTGGAGAGTTTCGGGTGACGCGGAGGCAACGCGCGTGGGGAGTATAGTCTGCATCCTCTGCCCCAGTGATTGTCTTGGATGATTGACAGTTTTCTGATGGCCTCGAAGCAGAACAGAACATTCCGACCTGATCCGACGTTCCCCCCCCCCCCCCCGCGTTGCGATCCGGAGCGAGTTCTGCAAACTTGTAACGGATTCGGACGATCGAAGAGAGGACTTGCTGCTCGGTTGGGAAATCGCCCGCACGGCGTTGGGAGAATTAAGGGAGTGATATTGAAAAGCCAAGTTTCCTGAATTGCAGATCTTGAAAGCGAAAGTGTTTTTTTTAAGCATCTTGGGGGTATTAAACCGGTTGCCTTATACGCTGCGTTTATCAATGGGATACTCCAAAGAGTGAATGGTGTTGCTACTGAAAAGCATAGCAACAGAGCAGAAGATAAAAGCTCTTCGCGAGTGGCTGTTCACGAAAAAATCACAGACATGCTAAATCTCCCAGAGCCACATTGGTCAGCCCGGCACCTGTTTTAACACGTATGAAAAACTTTCATACGCACGAAAAATTCATTCCGACGTGCTCACTGATGCTTCTTTTTTGGCGATTCCATAATTCAGCTGTAAGCTTCTCAGCGCAAAAACACATATTTTGGTGTGAATGGGAAATACTATGCATATTTATGGTGTTATAAAACCAGACAATTCCAATATTTTTTGTTATATATCCAGCTCAGAATTGGGCAGTGTTTCAACATTAGGTCTCAGGTGTTAAAACTATTTTTTTTAAATTACTTACATAATTTTTAAAATTTTTAATAACAGACCTTTAGCAAATGGGGCTTTTTTATCAGAAGTATGGAAGTGTATCAAATGTATGTCTTATAAAAAAAACCCTTATAATAAACAATTTTGATTACCAATATCTTTTGTTTCGTATCTTTTTTTCAGATCATATAACCTCCCCCTCCTATACCTATTTATTTAAGAAAAGCTGTATGGTTGCCCAACTCATTCTGCATGACTCCAGGAGGCTTACAAGGATAAAACCTTAATACAAAAAATAACATCTTCACAAACTCTTAGCAACAATAATTGGATGAGCCACTTGATGGATTAAATTATTAAAATATTTTAATATAATTATTCCATCCTGCTTGTTAATTGATTTATCAATTCTTTAATTCCTATTAACCAATCTACTTGCCTTATCTTTGTGTTGTTTTTAAGGTGCATGAAAAAGTCCTTGAAATAATTCAAAAAGTTATAGAACTAGGGAAAAGGGGAAATTTTCAGGGATGGTGGCCAGCTGTGCTGCCCCAGTCACGCACATACACACATTGTCCCTCAATTGCTACCATTTATCAATGAATAGCAGCTGAACCTGCAAAAGCAAGAGTTACCAAAGCTGTGAGCAAATATTCTTGGGAGACAATACTGTATATGGTCGTTGATTTGAACCAAGTCTTAAAATACATTGTGGCAAATTCAATAATAGATACATTTTTATTTAGGTGATTATTAGCTTATCACACTTGGCTACCACCAATATATGAAGTATTTTACCTATAATTAGGAATTTGTCACTCCTTTTAATAGTCCACTGTCTATTAAAGTCAGAAAGCCTTCTGTTACAGCAGAGTAATCAGTTGGTTACTAATCGCTATTAGCACAATATAAAAATAATGTAGCAGATACTGTAAATTGAAGAAATCTGGAGAAAAAAACCCAACTCACTGAAGACTATGAAGTCAGTGGTGGGTTGCTCCCGGTTCAGTCCAGTTCTTGCGAACCGGTAGTAATGGCGGCGGGAGGCTCTGCCCACCCAAACCCGATGTCATCACTGATGATCTGTGATGCGCAGAAGCGTACGCGCACTCCTGTTGCGAACTGGTAGTAAAGGTAAGTGGAACCCACCCCTGCATGAAATGTAAAGGATCAGAAGTAATGAATGGAAACTTACCAAAGAGACCTCCAACCAACTAAGAAGGAATTCCTTTCCTGACAGTAAGAACAATCGGTGGAAATTATGTGGAAACTTCTGAAGCTATGGGTGCACCATCACTGGAGGGTTTTAAAAGGAGATTGGACATCCATTTGTCTGACATGGAATAGATTTCCTGCTTGAGCAGCAGATTTGAGTATAAGACCTCCAAGGTCCCTTCCAATTTTGTTATTCTGTTCTGTTCTGATTGGAACAAACACACACAGGGCTTCTCTGCTTGGCTTAATGGAACTTTGAGCCATTCTTTTATTTTATGAATGGGAGTTTAGACGGCAACCTCCTTGACATTTGTCAGCTTGCCAAATGTTTATCTAGAATCAATTGATGAAAGAAGTTCATAAAGCAATAAACTCTTATAAGTGCTACCTTTCCAGTGAGAACTGTAACAGGAAAACTAACAGAACTGTAGACAGCCACTTTGGTCTAGTTGGTTAAGTCACCAGACTAGAAATGATTTCTGGAATAAGAGAGCCAGTTAGGTTTTGTGTTTACGGCTCTGGACTAGGAATCAGGAGACTACGAATCCTGCCCTAGGCATGAAAGCTGGTTGGGTGACTTTAGGCCAGTCTCTCTCTCTCTTAGCTCAACTCAATTCACATTGAGAGTTGTTGTTGTGGGGAAATAGGAGAAAGGGTATGTGTGTTTGCTTTCTTGAATTAGTCATAAAAATGATAAAGGTGGGATTAAAATAAGAAGAACTGAAGCTTTACAATTTAGCTTCAGTTACATCCCTAGTTTATGTGCATCATCAAGCCACTATATCCACCATGATTGTCAGGTTATAGCTACAGTTCCATGTTCTACCATTATTTACTATTATAATTTGTTTTATGAACAAGATACGTGAGTCAATCGTATATTCCAAGGCCCAAATTCTCTTTATCAAAAACACTATAATTACAGGTAGTCCATTTAATGACAATTCAAAGTTACAATGGCACTGAAAAAAGTGACTTATGACCATTTTTCATAGCTATGATCTTTGCAGCTTCCCTGTGAATCATGTGATCAAAATTCAGATGCTTGGCAACTGGTTCATATTTATGACCGTTGCCATGTTCCAAGGTCATGCAATCACCTTTTGCCACCTTCTGACAAGCAAAGTCAAAGGGGAAGCCAGATTCACTTAACAACCGGGTTACTAACTTATCAACTGCAGTGATTCACTTAACAACTGTGACAAAAAAGATTGTAAAGTGGGGCAAAACTCACTTAACAAATGTCTCAACAGAAATGTTGGACTACCTGTATAACAAAAATATAAATGCTTTTTAAAAGGCTGCAATCCTTTGCTTTGTTCAGAGTAATTAAAAAAAATAGAACAAAATCTTACATTTTTACGTGACCAATAGTTCTACAAGACTGAACATGAAGTCTTATTTTAGATGGTTGTTTTCAAGGATAAGCATCTTAAACTTTTTTCTCTTCCTTTAATACATTAGGTCTGTTCAGTCACTACAGATACAAAACTCTCAGCACATAAGAACTTCATCCTAAATTCAAGAGTATTCAAAGTTAATGATTGAGCAACTCACCTAATTCAAAGATTACTGTGACCTCTGACACAATGAGTATGAATTTGAAGTTACTTTTCTCCTTCAGCAAATAGAGGGACATGGAGATAAGACAACTGGAGTTCCACAAAGGAATTCACTCTTATAACTGCATCTTTTTTTTCTTCTTCTTTCAATGCACATCTTTACCAAGGGCAAGTAGAGGGGAAAAAAGTGCGGAAAGTTAAACCATCTCTTAAGCATACAATAGTGGTTTTGATTCCAAAAAGCCACAATGGACTTTAAAAAAAAAGCCACTACCAATTTCTTTTAGGTCCTTTTGCTCTGATAAATAATCTCAGGTATAGTGGTAAATTTAGTCGATCACCAAATGAAGTCATGGATCTGATAAATTTGAAATAAGACATTATTTCTGGTAGTTACCATGATAGATTGATAGATACTACCAACTTTTTACCAATAATTGAGAAGGTAGGTCTGAAGAGGAGGTTGAAATAGAATCTGGGCATGTCCTTGGAAAGCAGGAAGTTCCTAAATTTGTGAATTGATTATGTACCATGTGCCTCCTAAAGTTCTCAGATAGATTTTCTCCAAGAAGATCTGTCCCCAATTGGCTCTTCAGGTCTTCCAACAGCATAGCCATTACTGCTGTAACTGAGCCTATCCACCTTGCTGCTGGCCAGTCACTTCTCTTTCCTTCCACTTTCCCCCCGCATTATAAATTTTTCAGAAGAGCTAGAATTTCACACAATGTTTGAGAATGCTAAATGGATAAGTATTATTTCTGTAAAAGTTGCAGAAGGAAAAAACTTGAGTCCCTACAGTCTAACATTTGTTTTAAAAAATCTGATTTTAATGATTGTTGTTAGTCACTAAGTTGTGTCCGACCCATCGTGACCCCATGGACAACGTTCCTCTAGGCCTTCCTGTCCTCTACCATCCCCACTCCTCGGAGTCCATTTAAGCTCATGCTGACTGCTTCAGTGACTCCATCCAGCCACCACATTCTCTGTCGTCCCCTTCTTCTTTTGCCCTCAATTGTTCCCAGCATTAGGCTCTTCTTTAGTGAGTCTTCTCTAGTGACTCTTCTCTAGGGATGCAGTAGCTCAGTGGCTAAAATGCTGAGCTTGTTGAACGAAAGATCGGCAGTTCAGCGGTTCAAATCCCTAGTGCTGCGTAATGGGGTGAGCTTCCATTACTTGTTCCAGCTTATGCCAACCTAGCAGTTCGAAAGCACGTAAAAAATGAAAGTAGAAAAATAAGGACCACCTTTGGTGGGAAGGTAACAGCGTTCCATGGTTAGTCATGCCGGCTACATGACCACAGAGACATCTTCAGACAGCGCTGGCTCTTTGGCTTTGAAACTGAGATGAGCATCACCCCCTAGAGTCAGGAACGACTAGCACATATGTGCGAGGGGAACCTTTACTTAGTGAGTCCTTCCTTCTCATTAGGTGGCCAAATATTTTAATGGTAAGTATATGGAAATATTACATAGAATAATTTATCTGTTCTTACATTGTGGGGCCAATTTAGCCACTATTGTTTTTTTAGACATGGCTTCCTATCTTTTTCTGAAAGACTTTGGGCCATCAAATGTTACACATCTCTCTTTTGCACAAATTTAGTGTGATGGTTAAGGTGCTGGCCGAGAACCCAGGAGATCGAGTTGTAGTCCTGTTTTAGGCATGAAAGCCAGGTAGGTAACTTTGGCCCAGTTATTCTGACTCAGCCCAACCCACCTTCTAGGGTGTTGTTGTGAGGAAAATAGGAGGAAAAGATATTATGCATGTTTGCTGCCTTGAGTTACTTATAAACTTATAAACTAATAAAGGTGAGATAAACAATCTGGATTATATTATATTATAATCTAGAATTATATTATAGATTATAGAGACAAAGATGGAGATTGGCCTCTAAAAGTGTTAAACAGTTCCTTCACATTCTCTAGCAAGCACCTACATTTTTGTCCCTTTGCAAACTTTGGAAATCACCTTATAGAAAAAGCAAACAGGTTTAAACACGCTTCTAAAGAAATACGCTTCCACCGATCGTCCTGGACTCCCTATTCATTCTCATTAAACATCACTTCCTTCCATTTCCTTGCCAGTACAGTAATGTATTTCAGATATTTTACCCAAAAAAAGAGTGGGGGGAAATGACGAAGGGGAAAAAAAAAAGCTATTTGAGGAAGAACATTTCAGGGTTAAGGTTTTTTTAAAAAAATAAATAAATAAAATAATGCTTTTTAAAAAATACGAGGCTCACGTCTGATTCAATTCTGCCTGGCTATCCCCACTCCCAACCCTTCCCACATACGCATCTCTTCCAACTCCCAACCCTTCCCACATACGCATCTCTTCCAACGTTTGCAACATTATAAAACAAGCAACACCTATCCTGACACCGCCCCCACCCCACCCCACCCATTTTGCATGGCCCAACTACACCTACATTCCAGCCTCTCCATCCAGTCCTATGGCAAGGTGGATGGAAAAAGGGTGGGTCGCGATTGAGCTTGGTAGGCTTTCTGGAACCCGTAGTCGAACGAAGGGGCAAGGTTTATTGAAAAGCGCCCGACAAAGCGCCGTTCAGGACTACAAAACCCAAGACACCTTGCTTTTCAGAGGGGGCGGAGTTGGTTTGCTGTTGATTCCAACTGGTGGGATTTCCTCCCTCCTTACGATGTACCGAAGCGCCCGCTGCCGCTGCGCGCAATTGGGCAGAGTAATTGGGAACAGTTTGCCTTTGCGAAGACTCTCTCTCTCTCTTTCTCTCGCTTCTCTTAAAGGCGCAGGCGGAACTGTGAAAGTCTCGCTTTTTTCTTTTTGATCGAACGAACGAAGATCGCGAATATGTGATACAATCGGTCGACTATTTTAAAAACGCCATTTTGCGGACTTATTCTTTTGCAACCCCCCCCTCCCCTCCCTTCTTAGGATTTTTGTGCGCTTGCTTTCTGTTGCTCAGAGAAGCAGGGGTGAGTGAGTCGGTGGTTTCTTCTGCTTAACAGAAGAGCTCTTTCAAATCTGGCGTGTGCCTTCGGGCGAAGGGCTGATCTGAGAGTACAGGAGAGATGGCAATCGGTCATTAAAAGTTTGCACGGGAGCCGTAAATCTGATCCTCTGGGTTCGGAGGTACTCAAGAAGCCCGGTGCTTGTTAACTTCGGCGTTTTACTCTTGGATCAGCCCGAAGAAAGTTTTCTTGCGATTTGCAGGGAACAGGTCCGATCGTTCAGAGGCGTGTTTTTTTGGGGGGTGGGTGGGGTGGAGGAAGAGGGAAACTCGCTCACGTACAACTCAAGAGAAAGTGCCCGGCGGTCCCTTCTTTCTTAAACTTTGCAACATTTCCCACCTCGATCTTCGCCTTTCCCAGACGCGCGTCTTGCTGGGCTTGGAGGGGGTCAGGAAGTGACAAACCACCATTCAGCGTTCCCGTCGCTGAGGGGCAAGCATTCCTCTTCGGTATCCAGGGGTGACAGGGAGGTGGCGAGTTAGAAAAGTTTAGCTTCGTCAAACGCCATCGAAATAATACTCGCCGCAACAACCCAGATCCTGATTCCTTTCTATGCCAGGCTTCAAAGCCGCCGGGTGGTCTTACGGGTCTCTGGCTTGGAGTAAAGGGGAAGTTAGGGGAAACTGAGTCTCGGGGAAGGGGAGAGAGGAGGGGTCGGCACGGGTGCGGGGTTCCGTCTTTCTTTTGAATCGGAATCCCGGCGCTTTGACTCTTTGACTCTGTTCTCCTTAGGTAGGTTGCAATGGCTTCCAAGCTTCTGCGAGCCGTCGTCTTGGGTCCCCCGGGATCCGGCAAAGGGACCGTGTGCGAGAGGATCGCCAAGAGCTTTGGCCTCAAGCATCTATCCAGCGGGCAGTTTTTGCGGGAGAACATCGAGGCGAACAGTGGTAAGTGGCTGAGAGAGAGGACGGGCCTCTTCTCGGCTTTCTCTTTCTTTCTTTCTTTCTTTCTTTCTTTCTTTCTTTCTTTCTTTCT